AACTACTTTTCTCTTTCACCAGCTGGGTTCCTCTTAGGGTCAACAATAGGCTGTAGTAGACTGGAGGGAGCCTGGAAAGCAGGAGGAGGGAAGAAGGGAGTTGTGTTCCTTCTTGTTTGCTTGTTGTTTCTGTCAGGTTCACCCTGGCAATAGCAGCTGGTTCTGGCCTCCATTTTTCTTTTCTTTTTTTGGTACTCTCAAATTAGCAGCTGAGCAGTATCCCCTCCTTAGAGGGTTGAGTCCCAGCTCCAAAGGGCTCTGAACTTCTAGATTCTGATTAACCTTATCTTTTTTTTGTCACCACCCCTGCCTCCAGCCCTAGTGTGGATGTTGCTTCCTATAGTTATTCTCTCTGATATCTCAGTTTCCTTTTGCTTCTCCAGGGCTCCAACACCAGTTTAACTTATTCCTGTACTGTTGTTTTTGTTAGTTGCTGTCGAGTCAGCTCCAACTCATCGCAACCCCATATATAACAGAATGAAATGTTGCCTGGTCCTGTGCCATGTTCATGATCATTGGTATGTTTAAGTCCATTGTTGCAGCCATTGTGTCAATCCATCTCACTGAGGGTTTTCCTTGCCTTTGCTGGCTCTTTACTTTACTGAACATGATATCCTGCTCCAATGACTGATCCCTCTTGATGACATGTCCAAAGTAAGTGAGTGGAAATCTCAGACAATATTCTGTGATCCATATGGCTTTGATTGGCTGATTTTTGGAAGTAGATCACTAGGCCTTCCATCCTAGTCTGTTTCAGTTTGGAAGTGCCACTGAAACCTGTCCAAGATGAGTGACTCTGCTGGTATGTGAGATACTGGTGGCACAGCTTCCAGCAATGTAGTAACATGCAAGCCACCACAGTATGACAAACTGACAGACAGGCTGGTGGATTCCTATATTAAAGCCCTTCTACTGAAACACTGGAGTCTTGGTGGAGGAGTGGTTAAGAGCTTGGCTGCTAACCAAAAGGTCAGCAGTTCAAATCCATGAGCCACTTCTTGGAAACCCTATAGGACAGTTCTACTCTGTGCTATAAGGTCGCTATGAGTCAGAATCAACTCGACGGCAATGGGTTTGGTTTTTGGTATTGAAAATACTTCGTGCGATTTCTGCTTTTTTTAAAGGCTGGACTCTGACACAATCACCAAATCTAAATGAAGCCTCCACCCAGTTACTCTCTAACATAGCTTTGGATTTTCTTCATAGACTTTTCATAATCCGTATTTTTTTATTTTTTGCCTTCTCATAATCTGTCTCCTCCACTTGGATATCAGACTTTGTCCATTCATTACTGTATCCTCAGTGCCCAGCATGGAGCCTGGACTATTGTAGGAACCTAGCCAATGCTTGTTAAACAAGTGATTGAATTACTACAAAAGTCTACAGGAGAAACTGTCCAGAAAAAATGGGACAGAATTGAGCAGTTCTTTAACTTTTGGTTCCAGCCCAAGTTATTATGTGTTCAGAGTACTGATGAACTCTGTAATAATGTAACTCTTTGTTACAGAAAGTCAAGGGTAATACTTTTTATAATCAAGTTAGGATGCAATGCATTATTTAACCTATATCCTTCATCACTGGAATAACAAGATAGTTTATTTGCTTGGAAGTCTGTACTTATGTAAATCCTTACTTTCTAAAATTGGGGATGCTAATGACTTACCTTGGTAGGTTTTCATAAAGATCAAGAGTTGGTATGGGTTTGATCCACAAAGTTTTGTTGCTTAGCAAACAATTAAAAAAAAATTAAAGCCATCCAAAGAATTCATTTGCTGGAACATAAAACATCACTTAGTAACATTTACTTGGTAAAATTAATCTGTTTTCTTTTTTCATTGTGTTATGTGGTTTGAAACAACCAAAATATAGAACCATAAAAGCAGATTAAAAGGAAATGCTTAACTTCCACAGAACTATAAATAAGAATCTGAAAACGTCTTCTACAGTCTTTTATTTAAGTACCTACCACTAAGACAAAGAAGAATTGCAGTTAAGTCAAATATGCTTAATTCTTAAATAATTTTGGTCAAATAAATGCAAATAGATTAGATGACATTGACTTCCACTGTGTCAAGTAGAGCAATTTCATTGGACCTTAACTTTTAAAATTTCGCTTGTATCTACCTCAAATGTATCCGTATCCTTTCTCTTTTCTAAATCAGAGGAAAAATGTCCCTTTTCTCCCCCAGGCTAATTGGGCCACCACGCTCCTTAAATCCAGCCTATCTTTCCTCTTCCTCCATATGGGGTCTTACACTTGCATCTTTAGTATTCCCACTACTGTTATTTCTTGTGTCTCAAAACACGCAAACAAAAATCTTTCCTCCATCTTGTTATGGGTTCAAGCTATCATCCTGTGTCTATCTTTCTTTTCTCATACACAAGTTCCAGATAATTCATATTCACAGCTTCTATTTTGCCATCTGACTTTTGCCCTCTGTCCACTATTGAAACTGCACTCTTGCAGTTCACAAATGATTGCCTAATCAGTAAGTCTTTTTCAGTCTTCATCTTTCTTGCCATTTCTTTTGCATTTGACAGTTTATTATCTTTCCTTCTTGTAACTCTTTCCTTGGTTTTAGGGACACTGCATTACCCTGTTTCCTCTCTTCCATAAACTGCTCTTTCCTTCATTCCATTCATGCCTTTTTCCTCCAATACCCCAAAATTAGATGTTCCCGGAGGCCCTGTACTCTTCTCATGGCAAGCCCTTCCTTGATATTCTTTTCTATCCAACCTTACATATCAAATACCACTTTTATATTGAACAATCCCTAAGGTTGTATGCAGTCAACATCTCTTTTGTGAACTCTATCCTGTACTTTCAAATGCCAACAGGACATGCACTCCTTTGGCAGTGTAGACAAACACAACACATCCAAACTCGTTAGCTCTCCAACAAAATCCATTTTTCTGACTTTTTTTTCGTTAATAGTGTAGCATTTTCTCAGTCAGTCAACACTGAAGACTTTGATTCATCATTTACTCCTCAACCTTCCTTTGCAAAACTTGAAACTAGTCATAAAATTCTTTCCATTCTTCATCTCCAGAGGCATACTCCTCTGTTCCTGACCTTCCCATCACCATCACCTCCACCACCTTGGTTAAGGTTGCCATCACCCCTCATCTGCACAGCCATGATCACTTCCTACCCGGTGTCTCTCACTCTAGTTTCTCCCCTGGCCAGTCTCTCCTACTCAATGCTACCAGAACATTTTCCCTAAAAGGATAGCTCTGATCATCACACTTCCCTGATCAGAAATCACTAATAGTTTTATTGTCTCTAGAATAAATCCTGACCCCTTAACCTAGTATTCAAGAACTTCACTGTTTGGGCCTCAAACACATACTTTTTCAGTCTGACAAATACTATCAATTTTCTGTTTCTATAGCTTAGTGCTTAAGGGTATGGACCCTGCAGCCAGACTGCTAGGTTTGAATCCTGACTCTCTTCTTACTAGCTATGTATCGTGACCATGGACAAGTTTCTTAATCTCTCTGTGCCTCATCTGTAACAGAAATAATAACCCTCATAGAGTTGTTATAAAAATTAAATATTTGAAAAATGCTCAGAATAGTGCCTGGCATTTATGAAGCACTATATAATGTGTTTTACTGAACAAATATTTACTGATAACTATCATGTGCCAAGCGCTCTTCTAAACCTGGGGATAATAGTGAACAAAATAAACAATAATCATCTTTTTCAAAATTCTACTCTTTCTTCAAGACTCACTAAAATGTCATCTTACTCCTTAAATCTTACCTTGTAGGATGTTCTCATTTTAATTGCTCTAGCCCTTTATATCTGTCTTATGGCATTTATCACATTCTACGCATTGTACCCTGAATTACAGTTACCTATACATGCTTTTAACGGAGTGCAATGTCAGCTACTACGCCCTATTCTCTTTCTAAATAGTGGAATGATATACATTGTATGATGTACATTAAAAAACAAATAAAACCAAACCCATTGCTGTCGAGTTGAATCTGACTCATAGCGACCCTATAGGACAGAACAGAATTGCCCCACAGAGTTTCCAAGGAGCGGCTGGTGAATTCAAACTGCTGAACTTTTTGTTAGCAGCCTGAGCTCTTAAACACTGCACCAACAGGGCTCCATGATGTACACACAAAAAAAAACCCAAACCTGTTGCTGTCCAGTCAATTCTGACTCAGAGCTACATAGCAGATGCTTAATAAATATTTCTTGAATAGATGCAGGTAAAGAACTCTTTGCTTGCTCTTTCATTTGGCCTCGACTAACTTTACCTTCCTCAATTGCAAATATAAAAGAAAACTTAAAATAGAACAAGTTATTTTTAACTCTGTAAATATCAAATATTTGTTGTTTACGACTTGGCTTTATTTATCACCATCATTTGGCACCTCCTTTACTAACGGGCCAATCTTTGTAGTTTTGTTTACTAAGTATATTCTACAACACACTTAATGCTCCCGTTACCACCATTTGAAACCAGACCAAACCAAACCCATTGCCATCGAGTCTATTCTGACTCATAGCGACCCTATAGGACAGAGTAGAACTGCCCCATAGGGTTTCCAAGGAGCAGCTGGTTGAGTCAAACTGCTAACCTGTCGGTTAGCAGCCAAGCTCTTAACCGCTATGCCACCAGGGCTCCACCATTTGAAAAGTACCTTTAAATTTTTACTAAAGGAGCCAATGTGGATAGAGTATATTTCATTTGTTGTGTTTTCTATGGTCAGCACAGATTTTTCCCATTTCTCATTTTCTTTTTAATGGGATAAATTTTTTTCCAGGTACTCATCTGCAATTTTTATGGTTCATTACCTATTTTTTCCCCCTCCATTCTAAAGAGCTGTAGATTTTTGAAATTTACTTTTATGGCCTGTAAAATAAGGATTCGGCTTTTTTTTTTTTTTTTTTTAAATCATTAAGTATCTTTCCTTTAAATTTGCTTATTATTCTTCAGGTATAAACTGGAAAAAGCAGATCAATGGCAGGTTCTCTCCTAGTTTCTCATTTGTGTTTTCTGGATTCCAATGCTATTTTCTCCAAATGCTATAGAAAAATAAATAGCTATGTTTCCTAACATTTTGAATTGCCTTTATGCCACTTAACCTTGCTACTCATATTAACTATTCCTTTTATCCAGACAGAACTCCATCAGAATGGTACGACAGTCTTCCCTTTCAATAACAAGGCCAACACAGTAAATTTTTAAATAATGATCAAGGATTTTTTTTTATTCATTAAGTTTCAGTATCATTACAGAAAATGTTATGGTACAGAGTTGTTTAACATTATTTTTTTCTTTGCTCTTAGTTTCCACATGAATGCTGGTAACACTAATATCTGTACAAGATCAGTCTTTTGATTTTATTTTTTTGTTCTGTACAATTTTAAATATATTGGTTAAAAAGGCTGTCAGCACTTAAGGAAGCATTTTTCCCCCAGTTTGTTTGTTCAAATAAAAGGTATCCAGTTACTGCCCAAGAGTACTGTGCCATGAGGCTACTGGGCTGAGAAACCTCCCTGGACGCTCTGCAGGGGACGGTTCTCCTGGAGGTGGCGCAGGCCTCCACCCAGTCACTCTTCTTTTGGCACTGTGCACATAAACACAAGAGACGTGATAAAGAACAAGCAAAGGCTCTCTGTAAAGCTGTTATGAAGCATACTAAGAAGGGAAATCCAAGTGTTGCCTACGCTAGTATAAATAAGCAGACAGCCTTGATTTAAGAGCATAAGTAGTTGTATTTTAAAGATGAGAAAAACACAAGTTCTGCAGGCACCTACCGCTGTCTACTAAAAGCTATCGCTATCAGACCTAGCATTGGACACACAAAGCAATTTGCAAGAAAGGAAAAATTTGCTTTGATAGAATCAGAATAGAATTGTCTGTTAAGGTTTATTTTTAGGTGTTTTTTTCTTTAAAAGGTATTTAAATTCATTTGAAATATAGTTCAAGATGTTGACTATACAGATCAACTTTTATCCAAATCAGAAAAACTAGCTGTGCCGTTGCATATTACAGGATACAGTCAATGATATGTGGACATGCATCGAAGCTTTCTCCTGCTGGTGACCATCATAGCCGTCCAATGACCATGACGTCCACCACCTCGCCCTTGTGGAGCTCCACGTACTGCTCTGTCTTTGGAGGCAGCATCAACAACCCGTTGGCGCTGCGCATGCTCATCAGACGGCTGCTCATCTGATTACCTAGAAAGAAGGACTCTCATTATAGCAGCATAAGCATCAGTCCGTATATCTGGAGCCCTTGCAGTTCCTTCCAAGCTGAAAACTGACAACAGAAATGTGGGTCTTTGAGGAGGCGAGATGATCCGACTTTCCAGTACCTTTATCAGGTGGCCATGCTGCTATATCCTCCCACCTTCCCACTAACACTTTAGAAATAAGCATTAGAAATTATTGCTTCAAAGAATAAAAGCAGGATTTCATAGCATTGTGCAGGATGCTACCACTTTCTCCATTCAGGCAGAAATGTTGTGTGTCTGAAGAGACCTTTAAGACCTTTTAAAATAATGATGTTGATAATAGCAGAAATCACTATTTAGTATTTACTAAGTGCCAGACATGACAGAAGGCATTTTACTTAATTATCTTACTTGATTTTTACAAGACTCAAAAGAATTTAGGCAGCTTGTCTATGGTCCTAGTAACTAGTTAGTAGCCAATTTAAATACAAGTCTTTCTCATGGCAAAGCTCATGTACTTAGTTACTATGTTAGTGAATGTCTGCACTTGACAGGATCTTTGCTAAAAAAGTGATACAGTTTTTCTGTGGAGCATCAAAAGGTAGGCAATACATGACTAGAGAAGTTGGGGATAAAAGTTTAACAGAGGCAGTAACTATAGAGCTCTAAATTATTTTTTTTAATTTAATTTTATCATTCTTATTGTGGCAAGTATATATATAAACAAAACATTTATGATTTTAACATTTTTTTACCTATATAATTCAGTTAATTACATTTATCATGTTATTACTGATACTGATTTCTCTGCCCTTAAAATTTACCAATATCTAGAGTATAGTAGGGGATACAGAGAAGCACATTATATTTATAATAGGGCCTTTAGCTCACATTTCAGGGTATGTGCTGGCATAGCCATAGTCCCTACAGCCAAAGTTATGCTCAGAACTCACTGACTGAACAATCTTCTATATCTCTTATAGAAAATATAGAATTATCTTCTATAATTTAACATTTGTAAGTTCAAGTACCTATCTAGAAAATATGGTTCAATGAAATAACTAAACCTTTATTTAATTTTTAAAAAATTCTTGTCCTGTTATGCTGTCTGTTTAGGAATAATTTATTTAACTCATCAAACCTTTAAAAGGAATGTGTATAATAGTTTAAAAATCAGGTATACATAAGTAGGGAGATTATATATAAATTTGTGTTTTAACACGATGGGTGCATAGGATACTTGGAGGTGTGAATGACTAACCTGTACTCTGTGCCCAAGGCAGTGGTTCTTGGTGATGCCAAGTCAGTATACACCGATGGTATTCTGGGCGAGGATCCAGTTTCACATCACATGATAACTACAGAAAAAAGAGAAAAAGAAAACAAATCTGATTACCTGATCAACTCTCAAAACTACAGGGTGGTGGGATTATGCAAATTAACATAGTGGACAAGGGAAATATCCTTGACACTCTGCTCTGGTCCACCACTGCCACCTATGTTCTTAACAGAGGAAGTTCAGGGGTTGGGTTGTGCTGGTTGGAGGAAAAAAGAAACCTAAGAAGCAGATGAAAAGGATAAGGTCTATTTTTGAGGTCTACTTATATGCGTTGTGATGACAGAAACCTCTGTACTATGAATTGAGAAATCAAAGGAGGTATATTAACACTGAAAATAAAGGAGGTCTACCTGTTTTATTTATAAGTTTATAAAGAATTTATACTTTTTATAAATATATTATTTATAAGTTTAAATATATAAGAATCAAATAAACAAGCTCAATGTCCATCTGTCTGTCTGTCCATCCATCCACCCATCCATCTAGTAATATTTGCTGAGGAGCTAACATGTGCCAGGCACTGTTCAGCTACCCATTTACACACCCCTCTTCAACATAAAAGGGATAGTAACTTTCTTTTTCTCTTGAATGTTCCCTAGAGTCACAATACTGATACATAATTTCATTATGGCAAATAAAAAAGTAGTCTCTACCAAAGGTTATACCATTTTGGTTTAGTCACATCATTAAAAGAGTTGGATGACTGTTTCCTATGTAATGGCAAAGAACAAAGTAATCCTTGACTTTTAAATAACGATTTCAGTTCACATACATGATATCATAGAATGACAAATTCATCTTGAAGCCAGTGGGTTTTTTTTTTGGTGTGTGCGTGTATGTCATTAAATTCATCCTGCAATCTGATAAGTTAAAGTGATAATGTGCTGGTAGCAGGTACCTCAGAGGTATTCCTTGAACATATTTACACACAGTCTATAATTCTGGACTAGTGGACTAGTTCAAGGGTCAGTTCAATGTTAGGAAAAATAAGACCTGTTCCAGTAAAAGAGAATCAATATTTTCTATTGGTACAATAATCATTTAAATTTTTATATCTGAAAATGGTCTAGAACTCCTTTATTCACCTAAAAAAGATATTACTTAGATCAAATAGTAAGACAATTAAAACTTCAATATCCTGGAAATTTTGACTCAAGTAAGTCTATCTCCAATCTATTCAGGCTACTATGTCTTTAAACATTCCAAATACTCTGACAATCCAAGCTTCTCCTCTGGAATCCAAAATAAAACTCAATTCTAGGGTGTTTTCCCCTTGATTAAATCATGTCCAATTCTTTTACTTGATATTGATTATGTTTATACTCTATTTCATATCTACTGATGAAACAAAAAAAAAAACCAAACCCACTGTCGTTGAGTCGATTCCAATTCATAGCGACCCTATAGGACAGAGAAGAACTGCCCCGTAGAGTTTCTAAGGAGCGTCTGGTGGACTCAAATTGCCAACCTTTCGGTTAGCAGCCATATCAGTTAACCACTCCGCCACCAAGGTTTCCATCTACTGATGAGGTAAACCAAAAACCTAACTCATTGACACTGAGTTGATTCCGATTCACAGAGACCCTAAAGGACAGAGTAGAACTTCCCCGTAGGGTTTCCAAGGCTGTAATCTTTTTGGAAGCAGACTGCCACATCTTTCTCCCGCGGAGCAGCTGGTGGGTTCTAACCTCCAACCTTTTGGTTAGCAGCTGAGCACTTAACCACTGGGCAACTAGGGCTCCTTACTGATGGAATAACTTGGCATTATTCCTAATTGTTTTGTGCTTCTCTGAGAGTAAAAATCTCTGTCTCTCTGTGTGTGGTGTTTTCCAGCATGAAATTACAAGAGCTGTTCAGATAGCTGTGCTATCTGCTAACAGTGTTTAAGCAAATTTTTTTCCCCACTGATGGCATTGATTGGTTGATGGTAGTGTAGTCTGGAACAAGTACTAGATTGGGAATCAGCCACCTAGGTTCTATTCCCAGCTTCACTGCTAACTGGTTATACTGTATTAGCAAGTTATTTTGCTTTCCAATGCCTACTCATCTACAAAATGGGGTTATAGTACATAATGGTTAAAGTGCCTTCTAACTTTGTGATTCTAAAGACTTTAAACGATCATTTTCAGTCAATTTAAAAGAAATTTATTTTGTGTTAAAAGAAAATATTTATGTAAATTTAAGAAACCAGATCAGTTACATCAAAATGAAATGAATAATTTTTTCTTATAGTCTCTTCACAAACAGCTGTTCCTTTTGCAATAAGAGATTAAACTGATTAGATTTTTTATGGTGTTTGACTGAAATGTAGAATACTTTATTAACCAACATATTTGTTTGTACAGACATTATAGTTCTGGCATTTTACATCACTTAGCTTAAGAAAGTATAAAATTACTATGAGTTTCAGTATGAATCATGGGTAAATGCAGATACACAGTTTTTGGTGAAAAAGCATTGCAAATGGCTGATGTTTCATTTCCGATGACTTTTTATATTCATTCAAATTTGGGCAGTCATGGTGGGCTAGGATTGTTTCCTTTGAACATCTGCCTGGCACACAGTAGTCACTCAAGAGATAAAACTGTTTATTATTTGGTATAGTATTAAATAATATGTTCTACATGTAAATGTCTAAAGGAGAGAAATGAGGGAAAAAAAGGAGAATATTCTGTCCTTCCTCTTTGTCATGCCCATCTTACAGAGAAGTGACCTCAAGGAATTCTCAAATAGAGTAACCAATTAATTGCAAATACAGTGTAATAATGTTACCACAGAACTCTTTATGTGGTATAGAGGGGCACCCTTCTTAGGGATCTTGATAAAGGTTTCACAGGGAAGGTGATGCCTGAGTCTTACAGGATAAGTCAGGAATTTTCCAGGCAGAGAAAGGAAATGTTGGAAGTGAGGGAAGGAGACTTTCTAGGAAGGAGAAGAAGCACTGGCATAGGCAGGGGACTTCATGTCCATGCTGGAATTAGCAAATAGCTTAGGGCCCTGGTGGCACAGTAGTTAAGAGCCCGGCTGCTAACCAAAAAAGGTTGGCAGTTCGAATTCACCAGCTGCTCCTTGGAAACTCTATGGGGCAGTTCCACTCTGTCCTATAGGGTTCACTATGAGTTAGAATCAACTCCATGGCAACGGGTCTTTTTTTTTTTTTTTTCCACTTTGGTACGGTCAGAGTGCAGGATAGGAAGCAGATGAAGCTAGAGAGGAAAACTGAGGCTTTGGGATGGTGAGCCTCCTATGCTCTCTCTTTTTATATATACATATATATATAAATAGTGGTAGATATATATATGTAACAAAACATTTTCTTATGCTCTCTTGAGGAGTTTGGATTTAACCCTGCGGGCAAGGGAAGCACTGAAGGATTCTAACTGAAGATTACAACATGATTACACAGGAAAGTAATTAGAGGAGCCAAGATTAGAGGATGGAAAACTATTAAACATGCTAAAGGTTATAATATTCATAAATGTTGGTGCTATTATGCAAATACAGGCTTATTTGGCCTCCAAACTCAGGGGACATCGATAGGAGAGGAAGCCTGAGGAGAATGGTGAAGATCTGGAAGAATGCAGTAGGAACAGGGATTAAGTAAATAAATAAAGAATTGTCAATGGAAATTTTGGTCCCTTCTGAAATTGGAGATTTATAAACTATAAGTGATAACTCAAACAGCTGTATACTTCTTGTTATGGATTGAATTGTGTCCCCCCAAAATATGTGGTGTAAATCCTAACCTCTATGCCTGTGGTTCTAATCTCATTTGGGAACAGGTTTGTCTTTGTTACGTCACTGAGGCAGGATAGTATAGCTTGTGTCTTGAGTTAATCTCTTTTGAGATATAAAAGAGAGCAGAGCAAAGATGGGGAAAGATGCCAAGCCATGTGGAGATCTTCAAGGAACCACAAAACAAGATGAAGAGACAAGGGCCTTCCTCCAGAACTGACAGGGAGAGAAAGCTTCCCCCTAGGGCTGGCACCCTGAATTTGAATTTCTAGCCTCCTAAACTGTCAGAGGAGCCTGCTGGCACGTGGTTAAGCACCGGGCTGGCTAAACAAAAGGTCGGCAGTTCTTATCCACCAGCTGCTCCTTGGAAACCCTATGGGGCAGTTCTACTCTGTCCTATGGGGTCACTATGAGTTTGAATTGACTCCATGGGAATAGGTTTCATTTTTGAAATAGTGAGAAAATAAATTTTTATGTGTTAAGATCCACTTGTGGTATTTCTGTTATAGCAGCAGCTACCTATCTATTATAGGTAACTAAGATATTCCTTTAGATATGCTTAGTGGTGGCCTGGAATTAAAAGCAAAAGACAAAGAAAGGAGGATTGATCCAAGTTTGTGGATTCTCAGAGTGGGCTGCAGTGAAAGGCAGAAGAGGCAAAAGAGTTGACATACCACAGGATTTACATTGGATGAGTAAAGTGGTGAAGCCAGAGGGGTTTAGGGACTGAGGGAAAAGGGTAGGGTCTCGATGTTTGTTTTATATCTACTGATACGTAACTTGCCATTATTCCTAAATTGTATAGCCAAGTAATTTTTTTTTGTTGTTGTTTAAATTTTGATGTTGAGCAGTTCAGGGTATTGAAAAGGATGTGGGTGTACACTGCTGAAGTACAAATAAAGGTATTTAGAATTATGGAGGTAAAGCAACTGATGGTAGGAGGTGAGGTAGAGAGGAAGACTATTAGAAATTGCCAAAGACCTGAAAGTCTGGGGGAATGGCCTCTGAAAGGTTTGATGGCAGTGAGGAGAAGGTGAAAGCTCCCAAGGACTCAGGGGATCTGTTGGCACTCAGAGCAGCACAGTATGAGGAAGAGAGTTTGTGAGAGAACAAAGGACTACAAGAAAGGAATTATATCTTGGGTGGAAGCCCAGGATGATATACCAGAGGTCCTGGCTGGTAATGGAGGCCTGGACTCTTTTGGGGTCTGATCAAAGCTCCCAAAGAGTGGTTAAAGAAGCTTTATTACAGTAAGTTTTTGATAAGTGCTATAAAAGTTATGAGGCACTGTTCTCATTAGTCTGTTGTTGACCACCAGAGAGATATTTTTCCAATCATTGCCTGTGGCAAGCTGTTAATAGTAATGTAAGTTATCTCAGGTTTGTTTAGAGAGAAAAAAGCTGAGAACAAGAGCAATATAGGAGGCTTTGATGGACTATTAACGAAACACATATTAAAGCTGTCCTTTTATGGAAACATTGGGTCAACAATTCTATTTGATTGTTAGAATTGTGTTTCTGACTGTGTGCTGAAAATCAGAAATATTTCAACTCCAACCATAACTGACCAAGGGAATGGCTAATATATTTATTCTGAACTAATGATCTTCAGAAAGCTTTGATATTAAAGGATGGCATTTTCTTTGCCAATCCTTTAAAATCATAGAGCATTGCCCTCCCCACAGGATGGCTACATCAGAGTCCAGCAGTGTGATTACCATCACTGGCACTTAACACTCCAACTCCCTGTGCCTCAAAGCAGCAAGAGCGGGCAGAGGCAGTGAGTGTGGCAACCATTTTGGCTGAACTGCTAATGGACAATAGTAAGAAGTGATGTCTTTAAGCTACATCTTACATGGTCAGAAATTTACCATATGTTTCAAGGAAGCAAATAGGGTTATGCTCTAAAGTTGCAGTTATGTGTCAGTGAAGGTATGAGAGTGATCTGGGATGCTACAAAAAGAAAAGAAAGAGGCAAACAGCCAAGCATACTGACGAGCCATTCTGGCTGCCCCAGTGACACTGCTCTGTGGGGGAGAGCAGTCTGGCTGATTTTTGAACCAGTTCTCAATTCCCTCAGCTTACATGAACAATGCATTAAGCATCGGTTTGATTAAAGAGCACCATCTAGTCATCCTTGTCAGAATGGATGGCTGCCACTATGTCAGTCTCAAGACCTGGTGGATATTAAAAGAAGAGGTGTGCAAAGTCAAAGAGAAGCCCTCCTTCTCCTTCACAAAAATGGAGATTTTTGTTTCTTAAATTTAGCAAATATGAAAATAATGAGTATTACTGATTTAAATTTCTAAATCTAAGCTTTATAGCTCTGACCTTCCAATTTGATCAGAATACTTTTTGCTTACTGATGGCTTTTTTTTTTTCTTTTTTGATTTAATTTCAAATAACACCATCACTGTGTTACTTTGTTTTCAGAAATACTTAGTAGAATTTTTACTGAAATTTTAAGATAAGAAGACATTTCATCATGTACTAGTCCACAAAATCTCAGTATTTAGGTCAACGTTAAGATTTTCTTAGTATTTTTATCTATCTGTTCTTAGAGTAATATTTTATTAGTATTTCCTCTTTTTCTTCTGCGTTTTATGTTCTTCTTGTCAATTAATCATAGCATTCTGTCATATCTGAATTTATTTCAGAACTCTTGAAAAATAATGGTTTGGTATTGTAGTTCATACTGCCAAGAAAGCTGTTCATTAGTAATACAGAAAGTAAGTAACATAATTAGTTTAATAATCCAACTGAAGTTAGTGTTAGTGGAGAAGAGGACTCAATTTCCAAGTGACTTTACCATAGGTATAACTCCTTGGCCTGTGTTGCCCTCTACCAAATGATATGGTCATCCTTTCCTTCTCAATCAGCAGAGTCTCTTTTTCGTCCTTTGATAGTTATTTTTTTTTTTTTTTGACTTGTTTAAGATATATCAGTGAGGTCACAGAAAAAGTGAGCAAGTTAATTGCTGCCCTCTGTGAGATTACACTGGGGAAACAAAATTCTTGTCCCTTCTTCCATACCGGTCTAGTGTTAGGGTGGTGCCAGCCACCATTCCAATGACCACTTTCCCTTAAGTATCCACTCAAATTCTTAAGCCTTGCTCTCTTGACTCTCATACAGACTACTAGCTGGAGAAAAGAATTTGTTTCAGAAGTCATGAAATAATGTAACAGAGGAATGAAAGGGACTGTTTCCCCCCATTTTCTACCATGAAGGGAAGAATATAACCATATTTTCCCATAAAACTGATATAAAATTCTAGGTGTTTTTTTGGGCAGTTAGGAAATCATATTCTTACTGTTATCAGGCTTCAGCTTTGGTTTCTGGCAATTAGAAAACATTACCCTGGCTTTGATGATGGTTGGCCGAGGATCCAAGATGCCCTGCATCTTTCTCAGTGCAGGCACAACAAAGAGATTGCAGGTGACCACGGCTGACACAGGATTCCCTGAAAGTCAACCAAGCAGTTATTTATAGTACATATATAAAAGCTTGCCAAATAATTATGTCTGTCTATTCCTTCATAGAGAGTGATGGATGCAATTAATTACTATTCTCATCTTCTGAAGCACTTTAAATTCAAAAGATGCCAGAATATAGCTATAGTCAATCAAATGCTACAGAGGATATAAACATTTGGGTCCACCAGTGAAATGCAAAGATGCCCAGAAGCTATTTAACACTATTACAACAGAAATAACAATTTTATTTCTGCTTTCCTGAGGACTATACCTTTAAAGCCGTTATTAACTTTGATAAATTTTAAAGCAGTTCAAAGGTCTTGTGTATTTATATGCTATATTTTAAACTTTTAAAATTACCATAGTAACACATGTTCAGTACAAAAAAAATTAGAAAGTAAAGATAAGCATAAAGAAATGTTATCCATAATCCCCCATCCAGAAATATCCTTAAAATTTAAAAATAAATTTTGGACTTATTCGGCTAAATTTATTTGGATGATTTGGAGTCTTCGAATTCTTTTCATAACTTTAAAGGAATTTGGTATCTATCTTCAAGTCCTTCACATCTTACATAATTTGTTTTTTTAATTAATAATTTTATTAAAAATCTGTAATTTTAAAATGAAATTGTAAATAAAATTTAAAAATAAACCAAAAAATTTAAAATAAAATTTTAAATCATTCAAGATGTGAAGGACTTGAAGATGAACACCAAATTCTTTCAAAGTTATAGAAAGAATTTTAGGGATCCAAATATACTTCTCCAAGAACAAATCTGGATGTGTCATGTACTTCAAAGGAAGGAGGGTGGGCTGTAGAAACATTACCAGGCTGGGAATAAAAGATTTGGTTTCTTGTATGCTAACTGACCAACTTGTGTGACCTTGGCAAGTTCCAAACCTTTCTGAGTCTACTTTATTCATTATAAAATGAAAGGTTTGGGCTACATGTTCCTTAAAGTCCCTTCTGGTTCTAAAATTCTAATTTTATTAATACTTCTATATAGTTGTACGTGAGTATGTATGTATCTACTGGGGGTGGGAAATGGACCATTAGATTTTTAGGTCCTCTTGGCTAAGTCCTAAACAGCTAAGTATTGCAACTGCATCATCAAAGTGACAGGCAATGGTTTGTTTAGTCTATTGTTAGCTATAACCATACCTTTAAATTCTCCCTAACCAGAATACACCCAGATTTGTTCTTGGAGAAGACAGTGGATTCCTAAATTCTTTTTATAAAAGAACTTGTTATTAATTTTCAAGTCCTTCACATCTTAGATCATTTGTTTTTATTTTTAAATTTTAAATGCATTTCTGGGTGGGGGGATTATGGATAACATTTCTTCACACTTATCTGTATCTTTTAAATCTTTTTGTGCTGAGCATGTATTACTATGATAATTTAAAAACTTTAAATCCTGTAATGCTATTATGCTATTATTTTATAAAATGACTTTATAAAAAATGAGTTATCTGTATGAGAAAAAAGACTGGAAGGATAGACACCAGAAAGTTGCAAATAGTGATTATTTCTGGGTAGAAGGGATTATGAACAACATTTCTTTATGCTTGTCTGTATTTCTTACTATTTTTTTTAACTAAGCATGCATTACTATGGTCATTTTTAACTGCTAAAAAAAATAGTAAGTAGATACACAAAATGTTCAAACGGCTTTAAATCTTCTCAAAATCAGTAATGGCTTTAAATGTAGGTCCTTTAGAGAAGAAAGCAGAAATTATATTTTGAATTAGAAAACCCTTGTAAACTCAATTATTTTGCTATTTCTGCAATCTGCATATGTGAGTTCTTGTTGCCCTCTTTTGGTTCATTCAGGTTAAGCAGAGAAAATTTCAAATTAAAAGTACCAATTCGAAAATGGATTATTTAATTTTAACTTCTTTGGCAGATCAACATGTCAAACGTAGTGGACAAAATAGGCTCCCGCTGTAAAGTCCTCTGTTTATACTATCAACTGACGGTATGTAGGCTAAGTCATATCTTCTGTAGATAAAGTAAACAGTCTCTCTGGGCAAAAGAAAGCTAGGAAGAGGAGCATATTTCTTTATATAATAGTTTCCAGAGTACCTATCTAAGGGAGCTCTATGTTATAATTTTGAGGACCACTTTACATGTTCTCTTACAATTTTGTATATGATGAAAATCCCATCTCTTTTATGCCTATAGATAAGGGTTAAAAATGTTTTTGAAGTTTTAAATTCTTCTGCCTCCCTTTTTAAAATATCTCTATTTTCAGATTTGTTCTTTAATATAAAAAGCAAATAAATAATCCAAAGCAACCAGAATTTGAATGTGAAAGGAATAAGTAGATTATATTCTCAAGGAATCTGTGCCCAAAAATATGTAATAGGATGGCAATTTTAAAAGGTTAAGTTTAAAAAGAAAATAGCAAGTAGATACACAAAAATTTAAACTGCTTTAAAACTTATCAAGATTAGTAGTGGCTTTAAATGCATGGCCCTCAGAAAAGTATAAATAAAAATTTGAATTAAAAAATCCTTATAAACTGAACCACTTTGCTTTTTCTACACTCTGAATTTTCAAGTTGCTGCCTACATGGAAGGGGGTGGGGGATAGTCATGTTACAGACTGGTACTGAGTTCGATTTGGCTGAGAAGCACTAGTACTTTTATCTCATTCTTCCCTGCTCCCCACTCCCCCAGTCCAAATCCTGCAATGACCAAGGGCAGCTTTGTAGTTTTTGCTATAGTATTTGCATGGGTGACTCAAAGCCCTTTAGTCTCTTGTGCACAACAGTTATAGTTGTGGGAGGTGACTGGGCTGCTAACTGATCAATTAAGAAAAAGATCTAGTGACAGCTAACACTTGATAATCATCTTTTGGTTTGGGAAGTACTTTGAAAAATACTACCTAATTTGACTGTCACATTAACCCTATGGAGTAGATATTATTCCCAGTTTATGGATGAAAAAACCGGCTCAGAAAGGATAAGCTATGTGTTCAATGTCAAAGAGTTAGCAAGTGGTAAAGCTGGGACTTGAGGCCAGGTCTTTCAGATTCCAAATCAAGTGCTCTGCTAGGGGACTGGTCATGTGGCAAGTACAAAAAAAATTTGGTTATTTTTCTAGAAAAAGCAAAAGAAACTGTTTCAATGACTCTTACCTGGTAGTGCAAAGATTATTTTTCTTACACCATCAATATCCAACGTTGCAAATGTTGTTGGCAGACTAGAGAAAAAAGAGGTTATGTGTAAGTGATTGCTAAGTAATATGAGGAATAAATTAAATACTCCTGTGTTCTTGTCGAGTGACTATCCACACAGATCATTTATCATATAAAAACACTTTTCTGTTGACTCTCGTTTAAATCTTTATACCCTGAAGTGTTTAAAGAACATTTAACTATATTTGTTTTTCAGCATCTTTTGATTTCAGGTAACTACTTTCTGGTTTTCTGTGGCTTTTTTATTTCTTTTCTTTTCTTCTTGCCTGTGCCATAGAAGTGTATCTCAAATCTCGGAATTCCCCACACCGCTAGTTAATAAGGAAACCCTGGTGGCGTAGTAGTTAAGAACTACAGCGGCTAACCAAAAGGTCGGCAGTTCAAATCCACCAGGTGCTCCTTGGAAACCCTACAGGGCAGTTCTACTCTGTCTTACAGGGTCACTATGAGTCAGAATCGACTTGATGGCAACAGATTTGTTTTGGTTTTTTTGCTAGTTAATAATACCTATGCTATTGTCACTGGAGGTTTACAACAATCATCCTTATTATCAGAAGACTGTCTGATCATACATGTCTACCAGATAACCGCCTACTGTTCAAGATGAGTATTTCTTTTTTTGTCTTTCCCATCACCAAAAGTAACAGTGTCTACTCTCTAGAATAAGATGAGTATTTCTTAACATTGTAAAACCATACTCAGTGATAAACATAAAAGTATCCCTCACTCCTATGAAAGGAGTTTCTAGAAATGTTAAAATAAATAAAATACCATGACCAGAACAAAATTAAAGTGATAGTAATTTTAAAATATTCTCAAACTATACTTCCTCAAGACTGTGACAGAGCCCTTATCGTGGGGAGGGTGGGGAGACATGAGTGGCATGGAGGGGGAGGACAGTTGAGAATAGATTTTTTTCTATTGAGTACCACCATTTCTGTAGCACATCAGGGAACATTTTCATTATAATGATTGAACTATGCAGAATCTTTAGGGAATACTGCAATTTCCACAGAGATGAAAAATTATCCCTTTAAGCACCTGAATTGTTTTTATTTTTTCCATTTTTCCAGGTTTGATTTTTCAAAAATGCATTACTCATTCATTATTTTTTAAAACAATATGGTGACATTAACATTTTTTGATGATTCACAGCCATCATTATGAACTCATTCTACTCTGTTATAATATAGTGATATCAGGTTACAGGGGTATTATGGGTTGTTTTCACCTATAAACTGTAACAACCCCACACTGCTGTGTTTCCATAATTTTTGTTATTTTTTTTTCCTAATTTTTTTCTGCTGCTTCTTTTAATGCTAGACTGCTATCATCTCCACCCTTAAAGCTGGCGTTAGGCTTGGGAACCAGACAGCAGCAGTAATAGCACTACTGCTATAGTGATAATAGTAATACAAGAAAATATTATTTTTAAAGTAATATCTATGCACTACATCTATTTTCTCATTTAATTCTCACAAAAATCCCATAAGGTGACAATTCTTAGCCCATTTTATAGATAAAGAAATTGACATTCAGACAGATTAAGCACTTTGGCCAAAATCACTCAGCTACTAAGTGAGGGAACAAAGATTTGAACCAAGGTCTTTCTGACTCTACGGCTCATATCTGGATAAGACTCTAAGAGCGTGTGCCGTGAAGTGTTGGTATAGGGACTTTGTGACATCTATTTTGGCTTCTCTGAGGTCTTTTTTGCTTACTTCCTGATTCTTTGCTGTGTTTTAGAAAACAGAGATTGTCATATCAATTTATGGATCAGTTATCTGGCAATGATTGTTACTGTGATGAAAATAATTTCCAAGACACATTCTTGAAAACAGCTATATTCTTTGTAGATGACCCATAAAAACAGTGATTAGTAGATTTGGTTGATAATATTCCAAATGCTTTTTCTAGTATCTCTGTATCTAAAATGAAAAAAAAAAAAATTGCATTCTGAATGCACTGTATGTGGGAAGAGCAAAGCTAAATTACACTTGAGCTTTTTATATTTCTTTCTGTCCTACTATTAAGTAATAATTACTTGTAAATTCTTCTTACCTTTAGATAAGTATAAAATTCTGGCAATTAAATAAGCCCCATTTAAACTTCTAAACCACTTTTTTTATAGCAAACTAACAGATAATAGGAATGAAGAGGGAATGTGTAACACCTTCTTCCTTCTACTGAATTTAAAGCCAACTTAAATCATAAAGCTGGGCATCTTTTGCATCTTGCAGACAGGTAATGTAATATCTGTAAAGTACTCATTTTAAAAGATTCCATTACAACAAAACGTTTTGTTATTAAGCACTGCTATCATGAGTGTCCTGTTGCTAGACTGTGAGGTTTCTGTTTAAACTCTGGAAAGCCACTTCCTTGGAACTCATCACCTATCATTCATTCTCCTCTTTGGACCACAATGTAATAGCATTTAAGCAATGACTGAAGTCACAGAGTGTCATGACTTCAAGGCAGGAGAATAAACATTAGGAACTGATGAACTCCTAAAGTTGAAACAAGTTGTAAATAATTGACTGAAGAAAGAGTATCAACATTACAGAAGCTGAGATTATTTTAAATCATAAATATTACACAAATAATTCTCTAGAGGTGAGGTCAAGAAATGTTAGCTTCCTTCCCACTGTAAAGACAGCAATCAGTTCAATTTTCGTGGTGAGAAGCACATTGATGCTTTTGGAATGTCCTCTGTATTCTAATCAAATTAGTACTGTCCACAGGGAGAGAATAAAAAAAAAAAAAAAAAGCCTGTGTACCCACAGCATAATAATATTTGCTCATGAGAATATATTATTCGTAATAAGAATGATGAAAATCCAAGCGTTTCAATAATAAAAGGACCCTGACAGTGGCAGCCAAACTGGGGCATACTCGACAGGTAACTACAGAAACACAATGTCAACAATTCTAAATGAAATCAAATGTGGAGAAAGCTTTAGGGATCATCTTAGCTGTAAACATAAATGGCCAAATCATGGGGGTAAAATCTGATCCCTGTTCTTGAACTGACAGTAAACAAACAAAAAACCAAACCACTGCGGTCGAGTCGATTTCGACTCATAGGGACCCAACAGGACGGAGGAGAACTGCCCTATAGGGTTTCCAAGGAGCAGCTGGTGGATTTGAACTGCCTGCCTTTTTGGTTAGCAGCATATCTCTTAAGCACTGCGCCACCAGGGCTCACGTGCCCAATAAATCAGGGCTATTAGGAGAGCTGGCTTGACACTTAAAAGGCTTCTGTAATTTGTTGATGACTACCATAACTGTCTTGTAACAACTGGGAAATCCTCACTCTACTCTCTTTTAGGGTTCACATGAGTACCCATCAGAGTATAATTCTGGACTACAGTACCATTACTGTTGTCTCTGGCAACACGGAGGTATGCTGGGATGCTCACTCATACACTGAGGCCTTTGAACAGGGCATCAAAGCTTCATAGAGTAACAGGGATCTAACCAGGCAGACTTAAAGACATGGCCACACATATTTCACCAACTCCAATGTTTGGCATTCTTTGAGAATTTACAACTGATTGCAGAACCTCCATCAGTCCTTCCTATAAGCTTTTAGGACACAAACAAGATCTTTGTATACAGTCATTTCTTTCTCCTTCTGGGAGGTATAAAAAGCAATATGAAACATCCTGTATGAAATATTCTTACAAAAACAAAGTTTGAATCTGAATCTAATCAAGTCTTTAGATCTAAATTTCAGTCTGTAGAATATAATGGAGACAGAAGAACAAGTTAAACACCACCACAAGGAAGCAGTCAGTCAAATCTATTCTTCAGGACAAGTGACCCAGTGTCTTCAGTAAGTCAATGGTATGAAAAAACAAAGGAAGGGGGAGGAGTGGATATTCTTGTTTAATAAAGACATAACAATCAAATACAATGAGATGACTTTACTTGAATCCTGATTCAAACAAAACAATTATAAAAACACATTCTTTTTCTTGATATTTGAGGGGAAATTTGAATATGACCAGGGTATTAGATGTTATTAAGGTTATTTATTTTTTTTAGGTGAGATAAAACCATTGTGATTACATAAGATAAAGCTATCATTGTTGTTGTTGTTATTATTATTATTATTTGAGATGTATACCAAAATGATGTGGTCTAGAATTTGCTTTAAAACAATCCAGAGCTCTCTTCCCCCACAAAAAAGGCAGGGGCTGGAGATTAATAAAACAAGTATAAAAAATGTTGATAGTTAATGAAGTTGGGTGATGGGTACATGGGGGGCTCATTGTAGTCCCTAATTTTCATTCTAAAATGCTTAAAGAGAAGCAACGTGAGGAGGAAGAGAAAAAGAGAAAGAAAGAAATAGGAATGGGAATTAAAGGAGAAAAGGTTTGGAAAGTTGCTTTGCTTTGTTATATCAGACCTAGTGATTCATAAGGAAGATGAATTCTCATTTCAGGTAGGAGTTGTATTTGTACAAAGAATTCTAATACTATAATATTTCTTTTAATTAGAATAATCTATAATAGAAAATGTAAAAATAAATCATTTAAATCTGTTAGTCAAAGCAAGCCAAACAAAAATCCCATATACGAGATAACAAGATTATTTCCATACCCTGGCTTCATAAAAACCCTGCCAAAATGGATCTGAGCATGAAGATCAATGTCCAGCACCTGCTTGAGATAGTCCTGCAAATATGAAAAATAATCACTTTATTTTCAAACATTTTAATATCAGACTTTCAAAACTTTAAATGAAAATAAAACAAATGTGTAAGATTGAAATGAAAATACTTTTCTTATTTCAGTGAAGTTGATTTGCTTAAGACAAATATTTCTTCATTTATTATTCAATAAGTATTTATTGAGCACCTGCTATATGCTGAATATCATGGTAGGTGCTGGGGGATATGGCCCTAAACAAAAAAGATAATGTCCTCACCCTCATAGACAGTACATTCTAGTAGGGGGAGTTAGAGAATCAACTACATTAACATAGAATATTATTTGATGGGTTACTGTCTCTCGTTTAAGACAGAATTTTATGTCTGAGAAAGGATGGTAACAAATACGCCTTAAGAAGTTGCACCTGGGCAGGGAAGCCATATGTATTATGCTACACTATTCTGGTTAATGCACTTAAAGCAATATACATTCCTTGAGAAGAGACTTGATATTTGCCCACAGGATACCAAATCTAAGTATGTCAACCAAGATGAAAAATAACTTTTATTTAGGGAGGGACCTCTAAAACAGAAAGTCAAGAGAATTTAATTGCTCCATTTATATTCTGCCCACAAAAACACAATCAACCTATAGTTACAACCAACCCAGAGTGATGTGACAAATCCTGATCTTTGTAAACGAAAGGCAAGCTGCCTTGCAGTTGGTTTTGTAGACATAAAAAAAAAAAAAAAAAAAAATTACAGGTTGTATTACCTCTATCTCTATTAGTGAATTCCTGATTCACTAATCCAAGGGTAAGTATAGTAATCTACCCCAAATTTGAATATTTTACAAGCTATAAGCATTTTATTTTATTTTTTGTATGTTTGCGTCTATCTCCACAGCCTCAGCCAACACCATCTCTCACTTGAATTACTGAAACAGCTCTCCCTGCCAGTAGTCTAGGAGCACTGGTGGTGCAGTGGTTAAAGTGTTCAGCTGCTAACTGAAAGGTCAGCAGTTCGAACCCACCAGCCACTCTGAGGGAAAAAGATGTGGCAGTCTGCTTGTGTAAAGAGTACAGCCTTGGAAACCCTGTGGGGAAGTTCTACTCTGTCTTATAGAGTCACTCTGGGTTGGAACTGACCGGATGGCAATGAGTTTTGGCCAGTAGTCTTGCCCTCTTCCAATTCATTCTCCATACAGTATTAACAAAGATACTCTGAAAACAAATCTGATCAAGTCATTATATAATACTTGAATAACTTCCTGGTTCCCAGAAAAAAGTCTCATCTTTTACATATTGTATCTAACATTCTTGTATTTTCAAGCCCCCTTTTACCAACCATTGCTCTCATCACTCAACCCTCTTCTCACCCGACCCTATTTCTCTCTCACAGTCTCTCTCCACATTCCAGCAAGACTATATTTCTTCTAGTTTCTTAAGCTCTTTTGCCTCCTGATCTTTGAAAATGTTCTTCCTTTTGCCTAGAATACTATTTCTTCCTAGGCTTCTCTCTCCACTCCCATCCTCATCTCAATCATCTTCTCAGACTCTCCTAAATCCCCAAGACTGGGTTATTTATTTTTCAAGACTATGTTATTAGAGGAGCCTTGGTGGTGCAGCGGTTAAAGAGCTTGGCTGCTAACCAAAAGGTCAGTGGTTCAAATCCACCAGCCACTCCTTAGAAACCCTGTAGGGCAGTTCTACTCTGTCCTATAGGGTTGCTATTGGTTGGAATCCACTCAACAGCAACAGGTTTGGTTTTTTGGTTTTTTTTTGGTCATATTATTAGATGCAACATGTTTCAAACTGCTACATTTTCCTGATGAACTGACCCTTCTATCATTATGAAATGTCCCTCCTCTTTATATCTAATATTGTATTTTTATGCAAATAACACCTACCTTCTGCATGTGTTTGCCAGCCTTGCCCTCCCCCGTGAGGTATTTTTGTAAGCATGCTATGCTAATTTTTTTACAGCAACATATGGAAGAGGATTATCATAGTGGCGCTTGTGAAGGTGGCCTTGAAGGGGGTGGGAGGGCACGGCTGGCAAATGAACGCAGAAGGTGAGCGTTATCTGCATAAGAATATGGTAATCCTTATCTTAATTTTCTATGATACCAATACAGCTACAGCAACTACCTTTTGGTATAAGTTTTTTGTAATTTTTTACTTTCAACTCTCTGTATCTTTATAAAGGTGAGCCTCTTATAAGTAGCATATAATTAGCATTTCTCAAAAAAATTTAAATTAAAAAAAATTTAATTTAAATTTTAATGGAAGGATTTAGTCCATTTACATTTTACATTTAATGTGATTACTACTATATTTGGGTTTAAAACTATCACCATACTATTTGTGTTCTATTTTTCACATCTGTTTTTGTTTTCTTTTATGCCTTCTTTTGGATTTATCAAATCGTTTTTTCTTATTTCCTTTCTCTCGTATTAGCTTGTTAGTAATACATTCTTCTATTATTCTTTCTGTGGTTATTCTAGAGATTACAACATACATCCTTGACTTACTACAGCCTGCCATAATTTGGTATTTTTATGACTTCTCAGACAATGCAAGAACCTTAGAACAGGTTAATTCCATTTACTCCTCCCTATCCACTTTTTTGGTACTACTGTTGCCATATATATATATATGGAATTCTGGTGGCATAATGGTTAAGCACTCGGCTGCTAACCAAAAGGTTGGTGGTTTGAACCTACTCAGCTACTCCATGGAAGAAAAGACCTGGTGATCTGCTCCTGTGAAGACTGCAGGCTAGAAAACCCTGTGGGGTAGTTCTACTCTGTCATAAAATGTTGCTATGAGTCAGAATCAACTCAAAGGCACACAACAACAAACATATATACACACACATTTATTTAAAATATATTTTAAGTATACATTTTACACCTGTTATATATGTTTTCTACATATACTATATACAAAAACAAACAAATAAACAAACCCATTGCTGCTGAGTCGATTCTGACTCCTAGAGAACCTATAGGGCACAGCAGAACTGCCTCGCAGAGTTTCCAAGGAGCGGCTGGTGGATTCAAACTGCAAACTGCTGACCTTTTGGTTAGCAGCTGAGCTCTTAACCACTGCACCACCAGAGCTCCACATATACTCAATATTTTCTACATATATTTTAAACCTTATTATTTTATACAATCAAAACTCATTTACATTTACCCACATATTAACCCTTTGTTTTATTCTTCATTCCCTCCTGCAAATTTCCAGGCTTCTATAATTCTTCCTGAAAAAAATCCCTTTAGTGTAGGTCTACTCAGCTTTTGTTTGGCTAAAAAAAAAAGTCTTTATTTCACCTTTATTTTTGAAGGAAATTTTTGCTGAAGATACAGTTCCACACTGGCAGTTATTTTCTTTTAACACTGTACAAATGCCATCCATTGTTTTCTGGCTTCCATCATTTCCTTTGAAAAGACGTGATTAGTCTTATCATTGATCCTTTGATTCATTGATCTTCTTTTTCCTTGGTTTTCAGTAGTTTTACCATCATTACCAAGGTTTCTGTGTATTTATCCTGCTTGAGAGTTATAGAGTTTCTTGAATCTATGGCTTGATATCTTTTATTAGTTTTGCAAAATTCTCCATCAATCTCTCCTAAGTATTGTTTCTGCCCACTCTCTTTCCTGTCCTTTTGGGATTTCAATTTCTCTTAGGTTAAACCTTTTGCCATATCCTTCATGTCTCTTATTCTCTTTTCCATATTTTTCAAACCTTTTCTAAAATTCTCATTTGATTGTTTTTAATAAACTCCAGTTTGCTAGTGAAAGTATCCATTTTGTCATTTATTTTTTGTAAATGTATTACTTACAGTAATTGAGAAGTCCATATCTGATAACAAAATAACAGGATCGATTTTAGGGCTGTTTTATCACTTTTTCCTCTTAACTTTTAGTTATTCTGTCCTATCTCTGGCATCTCTGGTAATTTTTTTAATTGAAGACCAAAATGTTATATATGAAAAATTGAAGAAGTTCTGGATGATTTATTTCTCAAAAAGTATTTAATTTCTTCTGGTAGTTAGTTTAGGTAAATGGAGATCATCTTGATTTAATCAGGGATTGAGATAATTTGAGTCTGTATTTCAGTCTTTGTGAAGGTTTGTTCATTTCCAGTTTGTCCTTATTCCTAGAGCATAGCCCTTCATGGGTTTAAACTGAAAGCTTGAGATGTTTGCAAGAGGCTCTCTTCCATGGCAGGCCCTGAACTCCTACGACTGCTGAAGATTCTGTTTATTTTATTTGCTACTCTCTCATGCTTGGCTTCTTGGCCTCTTGTACCTTTACTCCTAATACACATACACACACTCCCCTTAGTAATCAGTAAACGCCTTGAAGGAAAATATAGTTAAGAATTCCAGTTTTACTTCTCTATGGTTACTTTTCTAGGGATCTTGGTGCTCTGAGTCCTGGCTACTTTGGTTGTTCTCTTCAAACATTTTCTTTTTCTTCTTTTAAAATATTTTTTATTTTATACAGCTTTCATAGTTGTTCTTGGTGGGAAGGTTGGTCCAAATAAGCTACTCCATACTAGCAGAAGCAGAAATTGCCAGACCTTTCTTATGTGCTCGAATAACACTATGTGCCTCGACATCACACATTTAGCTCATATTGCAATTGTTTGATAACTGATATGTACACCTTACCAAAGGAGCCCTGGTGGCACAGTGGTTAAATTGCTCGGCTGCTAACAAAAGGCCAGTGGTTTAAACCTATCAGCTGCACCACGGGAGAAAGATGTGGCAGTCTGCTTCCATAAAGATTTACAGCCTTGGAAATCCTATAGAGCAGTTCTACTCTGTCCTATAGGATCGCCATGAGTCGGAATCCACTTGACGGCAGTTGCCTTGGTTTGGTTTGGTTATACCTTACTGAACCACAAACTTTGTGAGAACAAGAACTCTTTTTTTTCTTTTATTTAATGTTTTATATTGAGTTAACTATAGATTCCTATGCAGCTGTAAGAAATAATAGAGATCCTTTGTACC